CTATCTTACAGGGCGGGTTGTGAAGCAGGAGATCTTACAGGGCGGGTTGTTTACCAAGCAGGAAGCAGGAGATCTTACAGGGCGGGTTGTTTACCAAGCAGGAAGCAGGAGATCTTACAGGGCGGGTTGTTTACCAAGCAGGAAGCAGGAGATAAGCGCCATCTTAGCACACTCGATGGGAGGGGTAATCTAGCTCAGGCTTTGCTCTTTCCTACAGGCCTCACGTCCGCCAAGTAAGGCGACCGGGCTCGGCCGCGGCTCCCAACATCTCCCCCTTTTTTATTTTTTATGAATGTGCGCATCGTAGCCCTTCCTGGACTGGGTGCAGAGGCTTATGCCCTATGCGTAGGCCCACCGTAGGTCCTTGGCTTAGACCCTGGTCGGCCGTCCCATGGTCTGCCAAGGCCCTGAGGCCCTCGTCCTTTTTCTAGGGCCAGGCACAAACTGGACGGAACCTGGATGCACACAAGCTTGCACTCATTTCCTCTCCGTAAAGAAATCCCCTCGGAGAGAAATTTAGACCTGGGCAGCATCTAACAGTCCAGCGGCTTACGTGCAGGATGGGGTAGGGCCTGGCTTAGGTTGAGTCGCACCGGGGGAGTACGCTCTTACCCGTCATTGACTCTCCTACCCAGCTATGTCATAATTTTTTAGAGGAGGAGTGTGGGAAGCTCACCGCCCCTAGACTCGGTCGTAGGCTAGGCGAGCGAGCCATGCATATGCCTGAGGATCTTTTTGTCCATTTTGGGCTACCGCTATTTCTATTCATCTTGTTGGTTGGTCTGTGATGGATCTCCGGTAGGGCAGGTCTGATCTTCAGTCGAGGGCTTTGTTGCCCGTGTCAGTCTCTCCGGTACCCACAGTGGTTCTCGTCCCGGTTCCTGTGGGAAAACACAAACCGCGCCTCGGCTCCAGCTGATTACCGGATCCGGGCCCATCCATTGTCCTGTTAGGACATCTTTCCATTTAACCCACCCTTTATGGTTGGGGGAAGGGTTGCAGTGCTCCATAGCTGGGGAGCAATTATCATTATTTAAATTTAAAAAATTGTGTGTGAATAGTGCCATGGATAATCGTGCCTTTGGGGCCAGGCCTTGGCCTACTCCCCCTTTTTGTTTTTGTAAAATTTCTTTGAGGCTTCTATGAGCCCTCTCAATGATTCCTTGACCTTGGGGATTGTATGGGATACCATGTTTTAATTGAACCTCCATCATTTATTTCTGCCATTGATCTTAAGCGAAAGCATGGGCCTCTTATCAAGAGTCATATGGAGTCCCTCAAAAATCTCCCCGGAGGAGCCAAAGCCTTGATCTCCTCTGGTCTTTTGCTTAGACTGGAACCTCTTATGGAGGCTGGGGAGCAGCAGGAGCTGCGCCATCCTGTCCCCTTCACTGATTACCATAGTACCTACAAGAGTTTGGACCATAATTTTAACATTGCCTGTATAATCTGAGTCTATGACCCCAGGGATCACCGTAAGACCCCGGAGGGCTGTAGAGGACCTTCCAATTACCAAGCCAACCGTGTCTTTAGGCAGCGGCCCCTTAAAGGTGGTCTCAACCACCTGAACACCCATATCGGGCGTCAATATGAGTCTGGAGGCGACACAGAGGTCCACGCCTGCTGACCCAGGGGTAGCCCTTGTGGAAGGCTGCCACCCTGTGTTGTCCTGTCTCGGGGGTGGGGGCCCGCCGGCGAGGAGGGCCCCCTCTGGCCGTTTTTTGGCTCGTTAACATCTCGGCCACAAATACGATTTCCCTGAGCGTCATAAACTGACCTGCAATCCTCTGCCTTATGTGGACCCTTTCTGCATCGCCCACAGACGTTATACGATCCTTCATTTTTAAGGCGAGGCTTGGCGTCTGCACTATTTGGGCAGTTGTGTTTAATGTGTCCTGGGTCCCCGCAGCTGAAGCACCCCTTGGCTTTATGTTCCTCTCTAGGCCCGCGAGGTCCCCTTTGTTGCACTGCCGCAGCCAGAAGAGCTGCAACTCCCGAATTAGAAAGCGGCCCCCCTATTTCTCTGCATATTCTGATCCAGGCGTTAAGATCCTTATTCTTATGTGGGGCTATTGCTGCCTTACATTCCTTTGTGCATTGTTCGAAAATCAACTGCCTAACCAGCGGTTGAGCCACTTCCCTATCGGAAAAGATCTTATCGGCGGCATCTTGCATCCGAGCCACAAAATCAACGAATGGCTCTGTTGTGCCCTGGACTATTTTAGAAAGGCACAAGGATGCCGTTCCGGCACCACTCACCTGCTTCCAGGCGCGAAGCCCAATGGTATTGATCTGCTCATAAACTGCACCAGGGAACTGAGTCTGATCATCAGCGTGTTGGCCTTCCCCCATAAGCATGTCTCTATTCCATCCCCGGTTCCCTCGGTTAGCGTTTCTTTCCGCCTGTTTGGCAGCGAACTCGGCGTACCAGGCTCGCCAATCCAGGCAACTACCCGAGGGCAGACACGCCTTTGCCAGCTGAGTCCAGTCCGCGGGGGTGAGGGGCCCAGAAGACAGGTTCTCCAGCATGGCAATGGTGTAAGGCGCAGTCGGCCCAAAGGTTGTAACTGCATTTTTAAGTTCTCTAATCTGCTTTATTTCAAAGGGTTCCCACACATTACGTCCCTGAGCCATGGCCATCTGTACAGGATATATCCCATAGGGGCCGCTATCTATCCCTGGGAACGGGTGGTCTTCATTAGACACACGACCCCCACGCCACAGCTGTCTGTGGAAATAACGTCCCGCCGGTGGCGGAGCATCGTAAGATGGCGGCCGTGGCTGAACAGAAAATGGCGGCCTGTGCGTTATTTCCTGTACTGACGGAAGAGGGGGGAGTTCCCATGCGGCGGCCTCGCGGCGAGGGACCGCTTCCGGGAACGAGTTCCAGGGCGGAGCAGAAGGTTCTGTCTCCCTCCCCTGCCAGGGGGCGCTCAGAAGCTCTCTGCTTTTTCGTAAGCCCAGCTGAGCGGAGCGCAATTCGCGGCGCAACGCAGCGAAAGAGCCTTGCGTCTCCCCATCAAGCGACTTAGGCCCCTGACAGCTGGTCTCTTTGGCCTCCTCACCATTCAACCTTCCCTCGTCCTCGGAGTCAGACGACTCCGAGGCTTGAGCCCCGTCCTCCTCCTTAGCATCTTTGTTCCCCTTGACGGACCCCTCTCGGGAGCTCCCTGACTGGGCCTGCTCAAATACCCTGCGTACTTTTGTAAGCTCTTGAGAGCTTTCCCCGCAACCACCCTCACTCTTAGTGCCGCTACCTAGCATGTTTCCCATTTTTTAATATGTTACTCACCGCGTGAGGCCCAAGGAATCCGCCACTTACGCGTGAGCCTGAGAGGAGTATACAAACCCTGTAGGTGCGCGCCACCCAGGGCCCAGGTTTATCCTCTACTCACCTGTCTTGCAGCTCTGCGTTGGAGCGTTGTCCACTGCCACGTCTCGGGGGTGATCAGTCCCCGTACGGGCCACCAGATGTTGGTGTCACTCCCGGCCGGCAGGAAGGACACACAACAAAGTCTGGCAGTGGACAACCTTTTCTTTTATTTTCCTTCTCCGTACAGCCTGCCCCGGGAATCCTCCCGGCCGAAGCCTCTGTTGGTCCGCTCCCCGCGGCTCCTTGCGTGCTTCTCCCTACAGTCTGTCCCGAAGCCTCTACCGGTCCGCTCTCCGCGGCTCCTTCTGTGCTTCTTCTGCTTCTTCCCTCGTGGCGGGAGAGGCACTCACTTTTATAGGGTTACAGTGGCCAATCAGTTCAAAGCGCGCGATGCGGGCTGATTGGCTAACATCAGTTGTTGCTAGGCAGACTATCTTACAGGGCGGGTTGTGAAGCAGGAGATCTTACAGGGCGGGTTGTTTACCAAGCAGGAAGCAGGAGATCTTACAGGGCGGGTTGTTTACCAAGTAGGAAGCAGGAGATCTTACAGGGCGGGTTGTTTACCAAGCAGGAAGCAGGAGATAAGCGCCATCTTAGCACACTCGATGGGAGGGGTAATCTAGCTCAGGCTTTGCTCTTTCCTACAGGCCTCACGTCCGCCAAGTAAGGCGACCGGGCTCAGCCGCAGCTCCCAACACTCATCCTCTCATGTTCCTTCACGCCAAGAACCTGCATGGGTCATGGCACAGAACCCCTGTATGTAGAACTTCTGGGCTGTGTAGAAAAGACACAGATACCACGAGTACCCTGCTATTGGGACTCCTCACAGCAGTGCATGCTACATGTTCTAAATGCACTTTTAATTTTGCTTTTATCCTTTCCTCTCTTTTGTTCAGCCCAAGTTCACTCTGCAGAGTCATTTTTTTCTCTTACCCCTTCACCTCTCATTTTTCAAATAAACTGTGGCATTGTTTTTTGGCTTATCCAGTTCTTTGTTCGAGGCAAGAAAGACCTGGAATAGGTTTAATTGGCAAGCCATTTCTAAAGGAACTACCCGACAACAATCAGAAATATCCAGGGAGTAATTTTTTAAATGTTCACCAGACTCCCATTACAGCAACATTTATTTCAGTGATATGGACTACTTCTGAGTACTCAGTCACTGTACAATTCCCAGATTCTTAGGCATTCTCAATAAAATTCCCACATTTCATCTACTGTGGACCCCCAAATTGTGGATTTGGTGGTAACAATAATTATTTTTGAAACAATATGGCTCAAAATGCCACAAATCTGATGAAAAATATGACTTTAATATCCAAAAAAAATTAATGAACCCTAGGGAGAATACAATTCGATTTATATCTAGATGTGTCAAGTGAAACACTTGGAAAAGATTATTTTTAAAGAAAGTAAAAACTTATGTATATAAGTACAGCAACATGATCAATGTCTAACTTTTCATCAAAAACACATGGAAAAGATTATTTTTAAAAAAGATAAAAACTTACGTACAGCAGTATGATCAGTGTGTAACTTTTCATCAAAAAGAGAAGACACTTAAGTAAGCTATTCAATGCTCAAGTTAAAAACTGCTAATAAACTTTTACCCAGAAAAGCATTCTTCCTGGCCCTGAATCAAGGCCAGCAGCTTCCTGACACTGTTGGTTTCAAGCAGGAGCCTAAAGAGATGTCTTCCTATGGTCTGTTGGTCATTTCAGAACTTGGGCAGTCAAATGGTCAATTCTTCAGAAAGTAACAGATTGAAGCAACCCCTCCACCCCCCTGGTGAGCAGCTGTGAGAGTGGCAGGCTGTGGTGGCTCAGGACGGAAGCCACCAGCATTTACTGGGTCCATGCCATGCCGGGACCTGGAGCACCAGAAAACCAAGCAACCCACCCCGCCCCCCAGCCCCCATGAGTGGCTGTGAGCATGGCAGGCTCTGGTGGCCCAGGACGGGAGCCTCTGGCATTCACTGGGTCCCACGCTGGGACCTGGAGTGCCAGGAAACCAAGCAACCCTTCTCCCCCCATTTGTTTTGTTTTGTTGAACTTCAATATACATGAAAGTATGGACAGCTATTTTGAAGAAAATGAGAGCCTCTATGACAGCCATTAGTGACTTCCCTAATTGTCTGGTTTTGAAGACCTAAAACCTTTCCTCATTCTGTTCAGATCAGTTTTATACTACGTTGTTTTATATGAATTCTCTGTATGCAAAAGCATGCACAACTATTTAGAAGAAAACAAGAGACAATATGATAGATAGTGAAGATTTCAAGTCATCTAGCTTTGAAATTTATATCTCTTCCATTGCTTTCTTATGTCCTATTTTGTTCTGTTTTGTTGTGTTTAATTTTATGCCCTTTAAAATAAAAATTAAAAAAAGAAAAGCATTCTTCAATTATAAAGGTAAAATAAAAATATTTTGGAGAAAAAAACTGGAAAAATTCCTTAATATCAAACATGCCATATAAAAAATATGAACGAAAGCACTTTAATTTGTAATGAAACGGCATCACATGGTAACTCGAATGAACTGAAAGAAAGGAGAGGGCCAGCAACCACTGGTCCTTAAGCCTAGCACTGTGCTATGAATCAATCACAAACTCTGGGTTCAGCTGCCTCTGAAAAAGCCCCATCTAAAACTGCATGAGGGCTTATTTTTTGTTTGGTCAGAGAATGTCTGTACTTTCTGTTGAGCACTGTTAAGAGAGTTTGGGACCACACTGTCACTGAAGATAGCTGTGATGATGATCCTTATTTTGACTGTTGCTTCTTGGCTCCAGTATAACTCCTCAACCCACTGGCACAGACCCTTCATCCTGCTGGCATAGATTTTCTAGTTTTCACCGCTGACCTTTGGGCCTTCCCAGTGCAGACTCATGCAACAGACTCACATGAGTCATTGTCATGGGCTCTAGGTGTTCAACTGGACTCACACAGGACATTGCTGTGTGATCCAAGCCCTTAGCTGGATTATCTAGGTCTTTAGTGCTGTGGACAGATTCCTTGCACTTTCTTGTATTAACTCTGGGTGACCATCATAAAATAATATTATAAATTATGTGTCCTGTATGTAATTGTTCTCCTTGCAGCCCCTGACTACAACACTATCTGTAAAGGGTCATGATGGTGGGAACTTTCTTGTGTCCTTCCAAAGTCATGCAGGTAAAAATCAAGAACTAGCCAGGAAAGAGTAACAACAAAGCCAGGGTGTACAGACCTCACAATACAAATAAAATCTCTAAATTGAATGCACATCTTTGCAGTACGAAACTCATAACTTAAAAGTGAGATTTAAGGGGTTTGGGATTTAGCTCAGCAGCATAAGCACCTGCCTCACAAGCAGGCAGTCGTGAGTTCGATTCCCAGTACTGATTTTAAAAAAGTGAGATTTAGCATCCTCAGTTGAAGCTCCTCATACCTGTGTCCCATCAAGAATACAGGATGCAACTTCTGAGGAAATGAGTTGAGACAAACAGACTCTGCTTGAGGTCCACAAGCAACATCCATATGTGTTCAACAATCTGAGTTTCCAGTATGAGGAGACAAAGAGAAGCACTTTCCTGTATCAAAATGAAATCCTCTTCTATGAGGAAAGAGCTCAAGAAAGGTGAATGGCAGCTCCATCACCTGAGAAGCAGCCTGAGCAGCTGAGAAATGACAATGTCCTTGAGTGAATCCTGGCTAATGTGGACATGAGAGCCACTCCTTCCTAGAGGACCTTTTGCTCCTGTGCTCCATGCACAGAACACAGAGGCCTGGGAGGGGCGACCAGGGGAGCCTTGGTCATCAGGTCCTCAAGGGGGAGGAGGTCAGACTGGGAGGCTCAGGGATCTGGAGTCACAAGTGGTTTGAAACTACTTTCATAAAAGTAGGGTCCTACGACCTCGCAATCAAGCAGAACATGTGCTTGTGGTTTTCTGCCTTGCAAAGCACTTTTGATGGATTTTTTTGCAATTTAGCCTACGGCCTTTCATTGATTCTCCGTACACTTTTATAGAACTTTGATATGATATTATAACTGTGAAGTATTTTCCATGTGTAGATTCAGTCACTATAACGGTGATAAATATATTATTTACATGACATTGTACAATGTGGAGTGAGATTATAAATGTATTTTGATTGTCATACAGAGATTGATAATGAAGGCATCATTAAAGTTGCCACTGTTAGATATTTAAGATAGTAATCATTTTTGTATGTATGAATCAACATTAGGTATGACTCAACATAAGAAGAACATAAATCCTAAAGGTGGCCTCTTTTAATGATGAAATAGTTAAATTGAGTGGAAAATTACTGGCAGTTTTCTAACTGCTTGACAAAGTTTATGTAGTTGGAGGATCCCTGGGCGGACAGGACCTTGAGGGAAAGATAAAAATAGTAAATAAGAAAGCCTTTGTGAAGTGCAAGTGTGATTAGGGAAAAGGAGAGGAAAAGCATGTTCTTCTAGCTAAAGCTAAGTAGAAACACAGTAATGGAATTGCAAGGCCATGTGAAATCACTCCCTCGGGACATCTGCTTCTGGAAAAGTCCCAGGGTGAAAACAGGCAGTGTTAGGAAGCCATCCACGTTCCAGTCGGGAGGGGCAGAGAACAAGCTTCTAGAGAAAAGATGAAATATTAGGTGACAGCTAGGGAAGAACTGTGCCTCCTCTAGTTCTTGCCCAGTGAGGAACGGGAGGGGGCCAGGAAAAGAAAGAAACTTTTCTCAAAAATAGCAAGGGACCTTGAGAAATCAATCCAGCAGCTGCTAGATGAGACAAAAAGGAATAACTTAAGATTAATTGGAGTCAGTGACAAACAGGAGACACCACAAATGACATGGAAGAAATGTTCACAGACATCATGAAAGAAAACTGTCCTGGTAGAGAAAAAGAATTTAACATATAGGTAAATGAGGCATATAGAATTACTTTCACAATGAACAAAAAAAAAATCTACATCTAGACATGTCACAGTCAAGATTCCAGAAATTCAACACAAGAATAGAATCCTAAAAGTTGTTAGAGACAAGAAACAAATCACCTACAAAGTAAAGTCAATCAGAATTACAGCTAACTTCTCAGCACAAGCTCTCAAGTCAAGGAGATGTCAGAGTAAAATACTCTAAGTTCTAAAGCAAAACAACTTACAATCCAGATTTATGTACCCTGCAAAACTATCTCTCATAATTGATGGAGAAATAAGATACTTCCATGACAAAGAACATGTGAGGAAATTTATCACCACCAAACCAGAACTCCAAAATGTTCTGAAGGACATTCTAGAAAGAGATAATAAGGACTACAGTTCCATGAACCCCAACAGAAGGAATACACCAGGAAAGGCAAACAAGTGGAGGGGAAACAAGGGGGGAGCCAACAACAGAAAATAACATGATAAGAATAAGTCAATACATATCAGTTATAGCCACTAGTGTTAATGGCCTCAATTCACCAGGCAAGAGATTCAGACTGGCAGAATGGATCAAAAGGCAAGATCCCACAATATGCTGCATTCAGGAAACACATTCAATTCAAAAGAAATTATACACTGAAAGTCAAAGGATGGAAAACAATACTCCATGCAACAGGAATCCAGAAAAAAGCAGGGGTAGCTATTCTATGTGCAGACAAAGTGAATTTTTTGAGAGATAAATAAGGTCACTACATCTTTGTAAAGGGAACAATCCAAAAGGAAGAGTAACAATAAAATATATGCAACAAATATCAGTGTACCCAAGTACATAAAACAATTACTAATGGACATGGAAAATCAATAAGCCCTAATACAATTGTTTTGGGAGATCTCAGTACCCCCACAGTCAAAAAGATCAACTAGACAAAAAATCACTAATGAAATATTAGAACTAAAAAAACTTCTGCATAAACAGACTTAGTAGATGCCTATAAAGTGATCAACCCACAATATCAGTTGTACATGGGACTTTCTCCAAATCACCCCACATACTGGCTCACAGAACCTGCTTAACTAAATACAAAGGAATTGAAATTATCCCATGCATACTATCAGAGCACAGTGCAATGAAATTGGAAATATATGCCAAAGGAAACCGCAAGAACTTCATGAACACCTGGAAATTGTACCCTACTGAACAACCAATGGGTCACAGATGAAATTAAAGAAGAAGTTAGACTGTTTTTACAGTTGATTGATAATGACAGTACAACATACCAGAACTTGTGGGACACGATGAAAGCAGTCTTAAGAGGAAAATTTATAGCAGTAAATAAACAACCATATCAGGAAAACAGAGCAAGCTCATATAAACAACATAATGCTGAATCTCAAACTTCTAGAAAAAGAAGAGCCGGCTACATTAAAATCTCATACAAAGGAGGAAATTATAAAGATCAGAGCAGAAATGAACACATCAGAGACTAAAAAACATTACCAAGAATCAATGAACTGAAGAGTCAGTTCTTTGAAAGATTAAATAAAATCGACAACCCCTTATAGGCAATCTTATCAAAAAAGGAAAGCAATAACTCAAATTCACACACGATTAGGAATGAAAAGAGCAAAATCACAACAGACCGTGCAGAAATGCAGAAAATTATCTATATGTGCTTTGAAAACTTTTATTCTAACAAGATGGAAAATACAGAAGAAACAGACAGATTCCTATATACAGATGAATTATCAAAGCGAATCAAGAATATATAAAAATCCTAAATAAACCAATATCAATGAAATCAAAGATGTAGTTAAAATGTATCACCAAAGAAAAGCCCAGGCCCTGACAGATTCACTGCTAGATTCTATAAGAAATTTAGTGAAGACCTAACACCATTACTTCTCAAACTCTTTAATGAAACAGAACTGGAAGCAATACTTCCAGATTCATTCCTGGAAGCAAGCATTACCCTGATACCAAAACCAGAGAAGAAGCCAACTAAGAAAGAGAATTACAGGCCAATCTCCCTAATGAACATTGATGCAAAAATCCTCAATAAGATACTGGCAAACAAACTGGCAAATTGCCGTGAAGATTGTACACCACAAAAATCAGACCCCCTCCAAATTTAAAAACCCAATTCAAACAAGGGCATATGAGAAGAATACACACTTCTCAGATGAAGAAGCACACACAGCAAACAAATATATAAAAAATTTCAGCATCACTGATCATTCAAGAGATGCAAATTAAAGCATCACTGGGATTCCACTTTATCCCAGAAAGAATGGTGACCATAAAGAAATCAAAGAATAACGAGTTCTGGAGGGGCTGTGGGGAAAAAGGAACTCTTCTCCACCGTTAGTGGGAATGCAGACTGGTGCAAACACTGTGGAAATCAGTGTGGAGATTCCTCAAAAGACTAGGACTAGAGATCTCATTCAACCCAGCTATTATTCTTCTGAGTATCTTCCTGAAAGAATTAAAAACATCATACCACAGTGATATATTTGCACCTATGTTTATAGCAGCACAGTTGGTAGTAGCCGGATCTTGGAAACAACCTAAATGTCCACTGACTGAAGAATGGATAAAAAGATGTGGCATTTTATATAATGCAGTACTACTTAGCCATAAAGAAGGATAAACTGGAGACCTTTATAGGTAAACGGATACAACTTGAGACCATACTCATTAGTGAAATAAATAAGACACATGTGTAAACATTGTGTTGTCTCATTAGTGTGAGAAGCTTAAACAACATATGTATATGTACGTGTATATAAAAAATAGTTAAGATGGTTATACTACAGATTTCTCTGAGTTCACTAAAGAGAAAGATTAGCATTGTTCAGACAATTTGAACACAGAAGTCTTGTGCTCTGGGTGAATGATTTGGGGATGACAATATGCAATGTATACATTATTGTTGCCCCCTGATTGATATGTTTTGATATTTTGTTGTAGTTCTTTTTCTTTTTCTCCTTGAAGTAAAATGGATTTTAAAAAATGCAATAAAAAAGCTGTAATAATAAATGACAAGGAGAATAAGCCCCACATAGCACAACAATCTGACAAAGAAAAAGAAGGGATTTCTATCGGGTCCTGACCTAGATCCCCAATCTCCCAAATGAATGTAATGTGGAGGCTTAAATAAAAATGAGACAAGTGATATGATTTTAGGGCTCCAGGAGGGTCAAAACCCTTTAGCTAAGCTTGAGACTCTGAGGGCTAGGACAAAGACTTCTCTGGACCACCCGTATTTATTAGGTCCAAAACAAAGGGCGGGGAAACTGAGGAAAGTGTGGGAAATGAACAGGACCTTGGGAGTCACTTCAAAGACTTCTCCAAGTAGTAAATTATGCCAATTTAGGAGAATCATCTTATCTACAGGATGACATTTTTGGTAGGATGGAGATTGCAGGAGTGAAATTCCTTCAGCTGCAGCCTCTATTTAATTAATTAGTGTTGGAGCCAAAGTGTCTTCAGCTGTGGCTTTATCCTGCCCTTTGAGGTGTCTCTGGCCTCACAGGCACCACAGGCCTCAGCCAGGACCAGTGATTCATAGAGGTTCACTTACTATGAATCAGCTCCCATCGCCAGGCAAGGGCAAGGGCTAGGACAGACTCACAGATATACATAGAAAGCCAATTAGTAGAATTTAAATCCTGCTCAGAGCCGCTTCATAGTGGTCTCCAACAGATTTCTGTGCTGGATGCCATAGGCTACACTACGTGTTTGCTTGGTGAGTAAGGGCTTTCCAGCAAAGGAGACCCTAAGTGAGGGTGTGCTGGAGGAGACGGAAGTCCCAGAAATGCTTACTTGAAGAAATCAGAACTGCTTCCTAAGCAGTGACTTGCACACAAAAAACGCTGGATCCCCTGACACAATCTTATTTGAAACTTCTCTGCTTGCTTCCTAACGTGTCCATATTTATCTAAATATATAGTCTAAATTTTGGGGAGAAAGTACAATGAATTTTTAAATTTATCAAGAACCCACTTCAACAGATGGATGCAGGATGAGATGAGGGAAACAAAAAGTTTTATTGATGGGGAACTAAAGTCAGCAGACATCAATAAAACCACTGTGCCTGAAGTCTGGGAAATCATTTAAAAGTTGGCTAGAGGCACTCAGCAGTGTTGTAGTCAGTGCACTATCCAAAGAGATCCTGAGGTTCTCCTCTGCCCACCAGAGCTCTGTGCGGAAGGTCTCTTCCCCTCCCCCTCTCGGCCCCGCTGCCCCTCCCCTCCCCCACATGGAATGTCTGGACCCCAACACTCCAGCTTTGTTGACTCTCAAACCTCATCCAGCTGTAGGTGGACCCTGGGTCAGGCCCTGGGCAAAGGTCACTCTCTGGGTACCTGCCAGAGAGCTAAGGCCGGCCTCAGGACTGTGGGGATGGCTTCAGAAGGCGGTAAGCCCGAGGTGGGGGTCAGGGACATGTTAGCCAACTCCCCGACATGCCTTAAACTGTTGGGAATTTGAATTTGTCATCTCCCTCGGTATCGGAGTTTGAGCTGATGTAAAGGAAAGAGCATAGTGGACTTTTCCAAGGACAGCTCCTTTGGGAGGGAAAGGAAAGGCCATGTCAGGAGAGGAACTCCCATGGGGACAAGGACTCCTTAGACACATTTTTCAAGAGTTCTCAGGGCAAATGTATTGGCTGTGGGAAAGGGTGGGAAGAAATCCACTTACCCTCCCCAGAAAGGAAGAGATTCACTTCTAACGGGTTGATAGACAACAGTGAGATGGTGTCATGGTGGACACGAGGATATTTTCAAGGGGAAATTCATTCCCCTTGCTGTGCCCTTTCCTCAGGCACCTGGGCCTTGGGTGTCCTACTTCTCTGAGGTGTTTGACTCGAGTTTCCTGGATCTTAGGAGGGCAGTGGAGAGAAGTGACCATAGACAGAAAAGTGCTCACTGGGACTCCCCCTGACCCACTGTGCAGGGAAATCTCCTCTTGGGAACAAGGCTGGAGGTTACTAAGCTGCCACAGCCCAGAGCCCCCAAGCACCGTCTCACCGAGGAGGCTTCTCCTGCAGTGCGGGTTGCATCTTGTCCTGGACAGCCGGGAACTCCCAACTCCTTAGGGTGTGGACTTCCCTGAGTGATTCTGAAATGTCACCTTTCCCATCACAACAGGCCTTCGCAGGTTCTTCGTCTTGTCCACTGTCAGTGTGGACCCTCAGCCCTTCCTTTCACTGTTGACAGGAACACTGCACATCTTCCTGGCTCAGGCTTCATGCGCCCGGAATGCACGGCGCGGTGCTGGTTTTCTCTAGCATGACCTGTGACAGCCGCTTTCCATCTTAAAGAGGGTGACATGTAGCTCACAGCCAGGAAGACACTTTGCTGTTATGTTACTACCCTTGGGACAGCTGTGCGGTTCTTAGGTGCGAGTATAGTGGACTGGTGTCCTTGGCTAGGGTCTGCATGAAGTCCTACTGGCCACAGATGAGCTGCAGGCACCCTTGTCTCACCTGGCACCTGGCCCATGCCAGGCTCCACGAGCCTCTTTCCTTCCCAGTATTAGGACCCCAAAAGAAAAGCTCCACAGATAGCTTCCCGTTCCACGACCAGTTCTGGTGAACAGTAGCTGTGAAAACTCCCTGAAAAATCCTGCAACATCTCCCCAATCGGTGTGACTGTGTTCTGACTTTCCAGAGCTTTCGGTGATAATGAGCAGCTGGCTGTGGCACATGTGCTCCTGGCTCACCACCACTGCAGCTGGAGGGAGGGGAAGCTGAGGAGTGCTGTGGACAAGCAGGGGTCAGGGAATCTTAGTGGCCTGGGAGGAAGTTCCATGCTGGAGGAGCTCTGAATGGGAGGATCAGAGCATGAAACTTCACTGGGGATGTTTGCAAACTGCAAAATAATCCTGTCTCCTCCCCAAAGCCAAGAGATTCGCCCTCTGACTCCCAGTGCTTGGAGAAGAAGAGAGCTCCCCTCCTGCCAGCTCTTCCTCTGTTCACTCCTTTCCTTTCTCTCCACAGCATCCGCAGTGCTGCAGTCAGATAAGACCCTGAAGGATGATGCCCTTGTGTCTCTTTCTTGGGTCCTGCGCCCTCTTCCACCTGCCCCAGCCTCACTACAGCGGCCGCACGGGAAGCCACTGCCACCTCCCTCCAGGAATGCTCTGCTGCCTCTGCAGAAGCCCTTGGAGTTCTCTCCTTTCCCCAGGACACCCATGATTGCAGTATACAGGGGCTGTGGCTTGAAGAAAGCTGGGCCTTTCAACTTCACTGCCCATACCAGGGCTGCAGAGAGGCTGGTAGAGCCCCTGCTGACTCACAGCATTGTCCTCAATGAGGTCCCACTCATCAGGGGTGTCCCAAGGGTCCTGCAGAGGGGAGTGCAGCGTCCTACTCGCCTGCTGCTGAGCGCTCCGCCCCTAAGCACCTTCCTGCCTGCCCCAGCTGGGAGGAGAAGCTGTGCCAATGATGACCAGATGTGGCCTCAGGGCCTTTGTCCCCCTGCCATACCGCCAGTGCCCCCCACCATGCCTGGGGTGAACAAGGTGCCACCACCACACTGGGCCTGCGGGGAAGGTGGCCTGGACATCTTGCAGCCCAAGGCCTTGCCAGACGACACCTGCAGGTCCGCGAGCCTCTATGAGAACTTCCGGCACTGGCAGCATTTCAAGACCCTGCTCCGGAGACTCCTTCCCCTCACCCCAGATGTGGAGGCGGTGTCCTGCTTCCTCGTGTGCGTGCCCTCCCAAGGCCCAAGGGCTCCCCTTGCATCCCCAATGAGAGGGAGGAGGAGGGGCAACAGGAGAGGGGGTGCAGAGAAACTGGCAGGAGGTGCTGCGAACATTTTTGCACTGCCAGGGTATGAAGAGTGCCTGCTCTCAGGAGATCACTACTCCCCTCTGACGCTGCCAATGGCTTTTTCAGTAGTTATCACCTTGATGCCCAAGACTCAGGTCAGAGAAGCTTCCCAGGGTCACACGAGCCACCATTTGAATTTAGGTCTCTGGCAACATGTCATGTCACTCTCCTTAGACTTTATATTCCTCCATTGATCTGAGGATTCGTGGCCCAGAGGTCACAGCATTGAGTGTTGGGGCTAACAGCTGTAGAAACTGAGAGAAAAACTCACACTTGTTGCCACCGCTGTTGTTGTGGGGAACTCCTGCTAGGGAGTGGAGCAGTCACAGGGGGGGCACACTTGGGGCCCTAACACTATTTGATTCTCAGCTACCCTTTGAACTTGCACCTCAGGCTTACACTCCCAGGTCACTGTGTGCCAGGCCCTGTCAGCGCAGCCTGCCAGACAGAATACCCTGGACTGGCGCGTTGAAGCCACCCGCATTCATTCCTCACAGTTTGGAAGGCAGATTCTGGGAGTGAGGAGGACTTTCCTCCTGGCTTGAGAAAGTCACAGCCTCAGCAGTAGTTCTCACGTGGCTAAGAGAGCTTTGGGGTCTCTTCCTCCTCCTCCTACAAGGGCACTAATCCCATCCTAACAGCCCCACCCTGCTGACCTCACCTGATCCTCATTACCACCCAAAGACCCATCTCCAAATACCATCACACTGGGGTCAGTACTGCAACACATGAACTGGGGAGGACACAAACACCCTGACCATAACAGACAACACCAACAGCAAGGACGCAGAGGAAATCAGCCATCGGTGTAGCACTGGCAATGCTGCCCGGTGCCTGCTATGGTGTTGTGGAGACTGTCAGAGCACAAGGGCAGAGTGTTGTGCGGGGCAGAGGTGACAGCGTATGGGGTGTGCAGGGATCACCTAGGGGTAATGGGGGCTGAGGTGGGGGACGGCAACTAACCCTGAGCAATTGCAGGTCACTGCTTTGGTCCCTGTCCCACCAGCACCCAACCCTGAGCGTGGAAGAGGGGCTGGGCATAGGCGTGCGGAAATGGGGTTGCATGAGCCGCTACGAGCGCGTGGCCTTCTACAAGGTGGCTGAAGGGTGAGTCAGGGACCGGGCGGCCTGCATCCCCAGAGCACGTGGGCTGTGCAGCAGTGTCCAGGGGACACCCACGGTGTCCGCACGGTGTCCACTGGTACAGGCCCCATCCCTGCCACCTTGGTCCTCTGCAGGCTGCCCCTTCCTCCTGAGTTCTCAGTTTGGGGGTCGCAGGAGCTCTGGCCTCATTGACCAAGGGGTTCCTTCAGGCAGTGGGGGCTGAGTAAAAGGCACAAATGCTACCAGCTCCGCGCTGGCCCCTGTTGAAAAAGAAAGGACCATGTCTGTCCATGGAGGGATAAAGTTATAACCTGAGATCCCAGAAGGGGTGGGAGAGGGGAGAGAATGCTCAGGAGAAAACAGCCTCTCAGGTGCTCTGGGGACACATCCCTGCCTTTACTGCTGTGCTACACCTAATCTGTTTTAAATGAAGAAACCAACAGTCAAACGCACACCCAGAGAAGGGAGGACAGGCCACAGAGGACAGAAACTGACCTCCTTTGCTGGGCCCCACTTTCTCCCAGGCCCTGGTCTCCCAGGGCATCATTCCAGGACTCAGTTCCAGCTCAGGAGCCCCAAGTTGGGGGAGGATTCCTGGTGACCTCTGCCTAACACTTCCTGGCCGGATTCAGGTGGTCAGCTCCTGTTTGTAGCTCTGTGCAAGGCCAGGGCAAACTTGAAAGGGGTCACCTGTGGGCTTTGCAGTTTACCTAGGAGTAACTAGATGTCCTGAGGGTGATGAAGGATGTGCCCAGAACTGCGGTTCTGCCCAGCGGTTGGCACCCTTCTGTGTCTAGACCAGTCTGCAAAGTCCTGGCTCCCCATCCCCATTGGCTCCAGCCTAGTGTCCTAATGGCCTGGGCCTTAGGGTCTTGTCTTAGCCGGTGTCCCCCCTCCACATTCCAGGTTCATGAGGTTTGAGGCTGCTGAAGAGATGGAAGACCCTATGCTGCTGTCAATGAGGAAACTCCTGGACTGTCCGCCTCCAGCCCCATTGAGGCTGGATCCTCCCAGGTCCCCTGATGCGGTGCAGCAACCAGGTGGGGCTGGCCGCTGCCTCACAGAGGACCCCTGCAGCTGCCCCTGCAGGGGGTTAAAGAGAGGCTGTTGTCCCACATCCACCTGGCTTAAAATTGGGATGGGAAGTTTGCTTTGGAAAGCAGAATACTCCCCAGAGCCCGGGATTTCTGCATCCCTTGGTCTTGAACTGGAGGGTATTGACTGGCTGTGCAATGTCTGTGACTACGATCTGCCCAGGACACAGGGGCACAGTGGGGAGAGTAGCCCACATTTCAGAGGCTCTACATGACCTCTTGTGTGACAGTCTCCACATTCCACATCATGCAGAGTCTCCCCTCAGGGTTTCTGGGCCATGCAGGCTGGCACGAGGTCCCTTGAACCTTGCTTTCCGCTCTGGGACTGGGGTTTAGCGGGAGCCCCCGCCATGCACTTCTCCCTCCCCCATTCCAGTGAGCATACCCAGGCAGACAGAGTCAAAGGCACAGGCTGCCTGCCCGCCAGCACACAAATGCCAGCAGTCTCGAGAGACCCAGGTGCCTGCTGACATTCCTGCTGACACCGTGAAGGAATGCATAGACACCATGGACTGGCTGGAGGACCGTCACCTCTTGGCCACAGTGCAGCCTGAAGAAAACCAGAAAAAGGAGCAGCAGGAAGAGGATGAGATGTACCCAGACCCGGGTCTCTTGAGTTACTGTGATGAGTTCTGCTCCCAGGAAGACTCCGTCTCTAAGGTGTGCAAGGGCTGGAGGCGAGGCATCCCTAGGCTTCCAGGAGCGGCACCCCAAGCCTTTGGAATTTACCCTAATTCCTTTACTACCCAGCATGCCCCATGCACACGTGTGTAGGTGTGAGCTCCAGTCTCATTGGGAATGTGTCAGTCCACATGAGTGTGGCTGATGGTCACGATGATTAACAACCCCATGGCGTGGACCAGAACAGGCTGGACAATGCTTCCTGCTTCTCCTGGGTTTCCCCTGGGCTCTGAGTTGCTCCTTACCAAGGACACTCATTGTACTCATGGGTTTTTCTTCTGATCCAGGTGGAGGCTGCTATCAATGCCCAATTCCTGGTAGAAGCAAAATCTGCAGAAATGGAGAAGGACACCATCTTGGCTGTAGGACAGGTACTAGAAGAGGAGCACGGACTCACTCCTGAACAGGTAGGCCAGGGGCATGAGGGACACCAGGAAGTCCAGGGCAGGGCACCAGGCTGACCCAAGGGAGGGGGCAGCAGGCAGACAAGCGAGAAAGAGGGGTACCAATCAGCAGAGGGGAACATGAGGGGAGAGGGAGACAAGTGACAGAAGGACACCGGGTAGATGTGAAGGAGGGACATCAGGCAGACGGGAGAGAAAGACATCAGGATGGGGAGGGGACCCTGCACACCAGGCCCACAGGACTCTGTCTAGCCCTACCCAGTGGAAACTGCTGCCTCCTAAAGAGGGCTGCACCCAGCTGGGGATGAACGTGGACAGGAATGGAGGAGACAAGGGGGGACACAGCTGGAAGGAGGCCAGCAGGGCCTCAGCCTCAGCCTCTGACACCAAGACAGGTGGCTCTCCGGAGCCCACCTCCTGTCCGGATGCCCGCCAGCCCTCTTCACGCCTGGGGCAGACCCAGCAGGTGCCCGCTTCCTCCTGCAGCTGGTGGAGAAGCGCCTCCTGGGCTCCAAGGCGCAGGGAGATGACCGTGAGCCCAAACAAAGGGTCAGCAAGGAGGCCTGCGCCCCTCCAAAAGCTTCTCAGGTCCTTAAGAGATGCCGGGCCATTGATGAAGATCTTCCAGTGTCCAAGGTCCTTGCTGTCCTGCCCAGGCAACAAAGCCCTGCTCCCCTGGGAACCTCCAGACACAATACTCTGCCCCAGGACCTGGCACCCCAATGTGCCCTGGGCCTCAGAGAAGCCTCACCTACTCAGAGACCATGCAAGCCAGTGTCTTGCCTGGATGAAGACAAGGGGGACTTCTCCAGCCTGTCCTTTCTCCTGGCCTCCCCTCACCAGTTGCTGCCTTGGGGATTGCTCCAGACCCTAGGCCCTGACACAGGCCTGTTCTACCCTGATGGTCCAGCACCCCAGACCTCACCTCCTCAGGGAGGAGGCCTCAGCCCTGGCCTCCCTTCACCTGCCAGATCCAAGAAGCGAGTCCTCTTGGGAGGCTCAGCTCCTGTGGGAAAGAGGTCCCGCCCAGGGCCTTCCTATGAGGTCTCTGGAGGGCAAGATTTGACTCAGGGGCCAGTTCCACCCTCAGGGCCTCAGAAGGGGAGGTGTAACAAGTTAGGTTCCCAGAGATGGAGGAAGAGGCACTGAAACCATAGGGAAGACTCTGGGGTGCCCAGTCCTCAGGTGGAGCTTAGGAAATTTCACCCTGGCTGCATCCTGCACCCCACAGCCAGAGGTGCCTCCTCAGAGTTCAGATCCAGCTGCTCTGGGGCATGGAAAGGGGGGAGAGGGTGGGTTGGAGGGAGGAACCTACCTGGGCGGGGCGAGGAATGTTCTTTGGGGGTGTTGTTTGGCAAAGTAAATAAAGATGACTGGGTGGAAACTGCTGTCAGAGTTGCTGCCTCCTGTCTCAGGCTTTGTTTACTCTGGGGAGTGAGGGAAGGACCTTCGGTACACAGATACCCAGCTGAGGTGGTCTCTCCACAGTGAGGCTGTGCTTTTCACTGCTCCTGGGAAAGAACACGAAGACTAAATGCTTCCTGAAGTCCTCTTCACTACCCCACTCTCAAGGCCTCATTTTTTTTTTTTTTTTTTAGGTCTCCTGTGCCCATCCTGTCTTTGTATGTGTCAGCCCGCTCAGAGGGTCTAAGGGACATTTTCAGGGGCAAAGTCCCCAGGTTAAAGACAGCAGCAAAACAGCAGGCAGCATGGAGCAGAGCAGAGCACAAGAGCACAACAAAAACAGTCACCAGTGTCTCCATTGTATAATTCTTATACCGGTTGTTGTCTCATGTTTACATTCTCACATGGTGCTGTAACCAGCGCGTGAGTGTTTACCTGTGCTACGTCACGGTTACATAGCTGCATCCCACTGTGCACCTATGCTAGACAAGTAAAGTCATGTCCTCAGGTGTCCATCCAGACCTGACATCAACTGACCTGCAGTGGCCCCACAGCCTGTCCCTGGGAGTATGGCCCTGCTCACCCGAGGCCCCCTTCTTTTTCTCCTTTGCTGGTACAGTTCTTGCAGATCTTGCCTTACCTTGGTGTGTCCCTTCCACAGCTCCCTGCCTGGCCAATGCATCCCAAGCATCATGGATTGGGCGCTCTGTAAAGGGGGCCAGCAGGGCCGCCCCTGACCTGAACCTGCCACCGGGCCCACTTGCCAGGATCACATACTTCATGCGTGCTGTCCCCATCAGGGCTACGGCACTGCAGTGTGGACATCATTTGTGGTGTGCCCATTTCATGCAGCTCAGTCATCGAGTCTAGATAGGCTGGCCTTTTAGTGTCTTGCTCCAGCAGGTCACCTGGATTCTCCCAAGCCAGGTGACCCACTGCCATCAACCAATTGATCACAGTGTGGTTACCTGCTCCTGGGGCCATCCTTTGCACATCCTGCAGAACCTGTCTCATAGAGGCAGTGCTGGCTATGCTAGCTATTTGTGACATTTCCTGTGGGCTTAACTGCATGTTACCAGCTCCATCATCCCACAGCCGTAGCAGCCCACAGACACTGTTTCACCCACCTTCAGGTTTTTTTTTTTTTTTTTTTTTTTTTTTATTTAAGAGGAAAAAGAGAAAAACACAAAACAAACCAAAGCGGCGTAAGGGTACACGCAATACAGAACTACAAAACAAAACAAAACAAAACAAAACAAAACAAAACAAAAAAACATAACAGTAAGAAATTACCTGCTAGTAGATTACACACTATTTTCTTGAAAATAGTTCCTCAAACACAGTATCAAAGAACACAAGGTGGACATTCAAACAGGGAGACTGCAAACAGCTGTGTTCAATGTTCCAAAAACATTGATAAAGTCAGCTATTTAACACCCCCAAACACACTTGCTGTTATATCCGTTAGAGCTCTTTTTCTTTTTTTTTTTTCCCTCTCTTTTTTACAACAAAATTTACACATCTTGGATTTTATTACTCCTTAGTGCTTATTACTTTCTTTGGGGGGGGGAAGAATACAGTCAAATATGGCAAAACAAAGCTGTCAGTCAATACCAAGGATAGACATAGCACATGGTGTAGAACAGAGTACAAGTTTATCAACAATGGTTATCAACGTTGTCCCTTGTTTCCTTAAAAAGAATTATCTATCTTATTAGATATTATAAAGTTGGACAAAACAGTAGAGAACAAGACTAATAAAACTTAGGCATTGTAAACATTACAGGACTTCCAAAGAAGACAATAGTCAAACCAGAATGGGTATCTTAGTGAATCTTATTGTCTTCAAAGTAGTTGCCTATGTCTTCAAACTTGATACTATCATATAGAATGGAACAGAGTCTAATCAGTCAAAACAAGATCGTGGAAGTACTACAGGACTTCAAAACAAGTTAATAGGAAATCGAAAAGAGTTACTATTTATATATCCTAATTTTTTTGAATTTTTTCTTTAATTAAGACAAACATAAGAAATGACTAAATAATTTTTTTTTGAAACAATAAGGGGGAGATTGAGATAAAACAGGACATAACAATATAACAATAGAGGTCACAGCATGACTGTTTCAACAACCTAGTACTTCACCACCTTATAACCTGACTTAATAGTAGTTACCATAGTGTCTTTTTCCTTGAAATATTTGGGTAAAACTTCATATACTCTAGCTTCAAATATTTTCATATCAAGAAGCCCAGAATAAAGCCTTTCTAATTAATGAGTGAAAACTTTATAAGGCTTCAAGGCCACCTAATGGGGAAACATGATTACCACATATTTTTATATATTTGAATCATTATTTACATTAGGGAAACTATTCGGTATTCACACATGCGAGATTGATTTATTTCACTAATGAGTATGGTCTCAAGCTGCGCCCATTTATTGATAAATATCTCAATGTGATCCTTCTTTATAGCTGAATAATACTCCATTGTATAGAAATACCACAACTTTTTTATCCATTCCTCAGTTTATGGGCACTTGGGTTGTTTCCAAGATCTGGCGATTACAAATTGTGCTGCTATAAACATAGGTACACATATATCACTGTGGTAAGATGCTTTCAGTTCTTCTGGGAATATGCCTAGAAGTGGAATAGCTGGAATAAATGGGATTTCCAGTCCCAACTTTTTGAGAAATCTCCAGACAGATCTCCACAAAGGCTGTACTAGTCTACACTCCCACCAGCAGTGCAGGAGAGTTCCTTTTTCCCCACAGCCTCTCCAGCATTTGTTGTCGGTTTTCTTGATCCTGGCCATTCTTTCAGGAGTGAGATGGTATCTCAGTGTGGTTTTAATTTGCATTTCTCTAATGACCAATGATGATGAGCATTTTTTCATGTATTTATTTGCCATTTGCATTTCTTCATCTGAGAATTGCATATTCATCTCAGATGCCCATTTTTGGATTGGATCTTTGAATTTCGGAGGTCTGAGTTTCTTTAATTCTTTATATGTTTTAGACAAGAGGCCCTTGTCTGAGAGAGAGTTCACTAAAATCTTTTCCCAGTTTGTGGGTTTTCTTTTCACTATGCTGGAGATTTCTTTTGACATGCAGAAACTTTTTAATAAGAAGTGGTCCCAGTTATTGATTCTGGGAAGTATTTCCCGTGCGGTTTGAGTCCTGTTCATGAATTCTTTACCTACTCCTATGTCTCCAAGGTTTCTACCTATTTTGTCTTCCAATAGATTTAGTGTTTCTGTTTTAATATTCAGATCTTTGACCCATTTAGATTTTAATTTAGTACATGGTGATAGACATGGGTCTAGCTTTAGTTTTCGGCAAATGGAGAGCCAGTTTTTCCAGCACCATTTATTAAAGAGACTGTCGTTCTTCCAGTGAACCTGCTTGGCTCCTTTATCAAAAATAAGGTGGTTGAGTGTGTTCGTAGTTGTGGTTGTATCTTCTAATCTATTCCACTGATCTTCAGCTCTGTTTTGATTCCAATACCATGTTGATTTTACTACTGTTGCTTTGTAGTATAACTTCAAGTCAGGGATTGTGATGCCTCCTGCTTTGTCTTTGCTGCTTAGAATTGCCTTTGCGATTCTAGGTCTCTTCTGGTTCCAGATGAAATTTAGGAGTGATTTCTCTAGATCTATAAGGTATGTTGATGGTATTTCTATTGGGATTGCATTGAATCTGTATAACAGTTTTGGGAGAATGGCCATTTTCACAATGTTTGTTCTTCCTATCCATGAGCAAGGGATGTCTTTCCATTTTCTGAGATCATCTTCAATTTCCTTTTTCAGTGTATTATAATTTTCACTGTATAAGTCTTTCACTTCTTTCGTAAGAGTAATTCCTAAATATTTCATTTTTTTGCTTGCTAATGTGAATAGTCCAGTTTCTCTTATTTCCCTCTCTGTAATTTTGTTGTTCGTGTATAGGAATGCTATTGATTTCTGAGTATTGATTTTGTATCCAGCCACATTACTGAATTTATTTATTGTATCTAAGAGTATTTCAATGGAGTTTAGGGGGTCTTCTATGTAGAGTATCATGTCATCTGCAAACAATGATAATTTAACTTCTTCTTTTCCTATCTTTACCCCTTTTATTTCTCTTTCTTTCCTAATTGCTCTGGCTAGTACTTCCAGTACTATATTAAATAGGAGTGGTGATAAAGGACATCCTTGTCTTGTACCCGATTTTAAAGTAAAGGCTTTCAATTTTTGGCCATTTAGTATGATGCTGGCTGTTGGTTTGTCATAAATGGCCTTTATTGTATTGAGGTAAAGACCATTTATTCCAATTTTCTGTAAAGTTCTTATCATGAATAAGTGTTGGACCTTATTGAAGGCTTTTTCTGCATCTATAGAGATGATCATGTGATTCTTATTTTTGGCTTTATTGATATGGTGGATTACATTTATTGATTTGCGTATGTTGAACCATCCTTGCATTCCTGGGATGAATCCCACTTGGTCATGGTGTATAATCTTCTTGATGATTTGCTGGATCCTATTTGCCAATATTTTATTGAGGATTTTTGCATCTGTGTTCATTAGGGAGATCGGTCTATAGTTCTCTTTTATAGTTGGGTCTTTCTCAGGTTTTGGTACTAGAGTAATATTTGCTTCCAGGAATGACTTAGGAAGGATTGCTTCCCTTTCAATTTCATTGAATAGTTTGAGGAGTGTCGGCATTAGGTCTTCTTTATATTTCTTGTAGAATTCTGCAGTGAATCCATCTGGGCCTGGGCTCTTCTTGGTGGGCAAGGACCCAATTACATTCTCAATTTCATTAGCAGAGATTGGGTTATTCAACAGTTTTATATCCTCTTGATCTAGCTTTGGTAC